GCCCAAGTACATTCAACGGCACTGAGCTAAAGAGAGAAACATCAAGAATAGAAGGGGGATGCAGAAAAAAGTCAGTACAGAGTTGACAATGTTGAAATTTACTTGAGCCCTGATCTCCCCAAAAAACAGTAATAATAAAGAAATCCCTCCTACCACTTTGTTCCAGAATTGGCTAACCTCAAAGGACCACCCTGCCCTAGCATATTCTAAAATAAGACCTGTCTTCATCCTTCCTTCCATTTTTTTTTTTTTAGATGTTTCTCAGAAATGAATGTTCTCCCTATTGCAATAGCCTGGATGAAATTATCTCCCTAAATGTCTGGTGCATTTTGTCTTCCACAAGAACAATATGTACAAAGACACAGAGGCAAATGCATGCATAGGCTGACCTGGGGAGGTGGGATAGAGGAGGAAGAAATGGAAAGGGTGAGGCTGAGGACCAGGAAGGACAGCCAAAAGTTAAGTTGGGAGCAGAGGTGATGAACCTTGTATTTGGGGCAGTTTGAACTTTATGGTATAGGCAACCGACAGTTACCGAATATTCTGAACCATGGGAAGAGGCAGATGCATGTTTTAGAAAGAGAACTAGAAGGAGTATTAAGAACTGATGGAAAAGAAGACTGCCCCGTTTGCAAGTGAAGAAATGAGTTGAGGAAAATGTGGAGCTAAGAGATTAGTAAAGACAGTAGTAGAAGAGGTGGGAGGAAGGGGCTAGAAATGAGGTTTCAACATAAAAGCAACAGAACTGACAAACGATTGAATGTAAATGGTAAGAAACACTTAGAAGCTACTGTGTGGTTTTTTAGCTTGAGTTACTTACTACATGATGGTGATTCTATGAACTGAAATGGGAAATCTTAGAAGTGGTAAAGATTTGGGGCAGAATGTGGTGGAGATGGAGTGGGAATTGAAGTTCAGAAGTTGCATATATACATATATGCACACATATACATATAGTTAACACATACAAGTGATTAATGATGTGAGTTAATATACTGATAGAAAATTACTAATAAAGTGACTTAATATAACAAATATATAATATATTAATGATTAATGATGTGAGTATATATAAAACAATGATTGGATAATCAGAGTTTTTTTTAGATAGTTGACACTTTGCACTCTAGAAAAAGCAATTGGAACAAAAATCAAAAAGAATTTACATTGATTTCCTTATAGGGAGAAGACAAGCTAAAGAAAGGTAAGGAAATGGAAAGAAAGTCACCTGGAGCGATTTTTGCCATCCACTTAGGATGGAGGGGATTGAATTATAGGCTGTTCTGGAATAATCAGATAATAGTTACCTCCATCTCTTCCTTTCAAGTGTGGGATTCAGGAAGATCATCTACTTCAATGGCTTAATTGTATGTATGTTTTTACAAGAACCAAGAAGTTAAGGAACATATTAAAAAGTAAGTGTAGGTCATGATTCCTGGTTTAGGAAGTGAGCTCCTGAAACTAGCTTCCTGGTTATAAGCTGGGTTATGAAGTCCTTGCAGGAGTTCTCCACAAGGCAGTCGCTGCCAGCCATTGGGATGATCCATGAAAGGAGAACACAAGTAAACACTAGTCCTGAGAAAATGCCTTAGGACTTTACCATGAAAATGTCCGCATTCTTGCTTTCCTTGACAAAGCACAGAAAGAAATAGAAATAATAGTAAATACATGAGCTAGAAAGAAGTTAACAGAAGGGATAGGAATTGCTTGGACAGGTTCATGGAATGTCATAATATTATACAGGGAATATTCAGTTCAAAGGATTAGTCCTTTGACTAATGTTTCCTAATGTCAACGGTAGCTAGCTATGGAACAATCTATTTTTTCAGTCTAGTGGAAGATACCATTGACAAAGTCACTTAAAATTGATTGACTGAAACACTTAAGGGAAGCAAAAGAGGGTAAAATATGAATTTTGGCAGCAGAGAGGCCAGAAAGGCATTCCTTATTTCTATTTTTGGCATCCACTGAGTGAACTGATCAGTTAACACCTTCCTGCTCAGGAAGGCAGTCTCTAAACACTGAGGAGATGATGAATCAAAGCTTCAATAGCTAGATTTCAATTTCTTTTCTTCCTCTTTCCCTCAAATGAACAAAGGCCAGGAAATATACATCTGCAGTAACCAGCTTTTTAAATACTCAAATCACAAGGCAATAATCAGAAGTTTCTGTTTTCAGGAATGATTTTAATAAAATAGAGAAAAGCAAAAGTTATTTTTAGAGGAAGGAAACTTCCAGCAGATTTTTTTTCCCCTGAAATGACGCTTATTTCCCCCGATTGTAAAAAGTAGCACATGGAATGCCAGTAGACATGATGCCATAAGTAAATGCTTTGACACATCTGTTCTCTTCCAAAAACAGAGCACAGACTGATAAAAATACAGAAAGAGAAAACCAGAAAGACATCTAGAGGTTAAAAAGCAGAAAAAAGAGAAGGGCCGGATGGCAGAGAAGACCAAAAAGAAAAGGTCTCTAAAGGGCCAAGCCTGAAGACATAGGCCTACTGTACTCCAAGTCCAGAAACAGGCAGGTGGCAATGAGTGGAACTTCAGGTTCTACTGGGGTTTGGGGACTAAAAATATTCCCTTGAAACAGGTGACCTAGCTTCACCCCCAGAAACTGAACCACGCTGCTTCTGGCTTAGTGTAATATTACCATACAGCAGGAGACCCAACTGGTTCTTGACTAGGGGCCAAGGACTGCACAAACTATTAGACAGGGAGGAAGGAGTATAAGAAAGAACCAAAGAAAACAATGGCACCGACAAACGAAACACCCTCCTATCAAAATGACCTCCAATCCCAAACTCAAAAACGCACAAACAAGTAATATTAGTACAACTAAATCAATGACCTACAGAACTGGACAAGAAGATACTGATAAATCTCAGTTATGCTGAACATTTGAACACACCTGTATCAGAGACTGAGAGGTGAAGAATAGAAAAATACTAAGAATATGAATGATGTAAGCAACATCTCATTCTTGACCAGTGAATTCTGCGGGAAAGTCAGCTGAGAAAAAACTCTTTTGGAAAAGACTTTCTCCCCTGAGAAAAAGAGAGCTAGGTGAACAGAAGTTTTCCTTTCTTCCTCTCCTGGTACATGATGACACACTGCCTGGAACTGTGTCAGCCTCCTGGACCCTGAGGGTGAACGGCAGCCGAGCACTGAGACATGGGCAGGAAAGTGGACAGTGCTGGGCTCTTGATTACATCATCGGACTACTGCACTACCCCGGAACCACCACCAGCAGATTTCATCCCATGGAAGCTGAGGCCCCAACAGCTGCCTCTTCCTGCCCTTGCTTAATGAGAGCCTACAGCCTGGCCAGACTATCACCGTAACCACCGAGCACCCCAACCCCTCCCCATTCCTTTCTGAGGCTTTAGAGTCAGGCGGTGGGGGGAGACTCCAGCAAGTCACTCAACTCTCTGAGCCTCATTTCCTCCTCTGTAAAGTGAGAATGATAATAATACCCACTTCATAAGGATAAGGGGCAATTAAATGAACTCAAGTACTTCACACAACATCCAGAAGCATTCCATAAATGCAGGCTATTGTGGAGGGGGGTGTTTTCCCAGGGTTCCACTGAGTTTTACGTAATCACAGGATAATGGCAAGGCTATCGTTTGTTTAAACCACACCTGCTGATGTAGAAGTAACACCAAGCTCTGCTAAAATATGGGCACACATGCCTCAACATTTTAAACATGTATAGATTTTTAAAAACTTCACGTTGTGGGGCACCTGGGTGGCTCAGTTGGTTAAACGTCTGCCTTCGGCTCAGGTCACGATGGATCGAGCCCCGCATTGGGCTCCTTGCTCAGCGGGAAGCCTGCTTCTCCCTCTCCCTCTGCCGGCCGCTCCCCCTGCTTGTGCTCTCTCTCTCACTACCTCTCTCTGTGTGTCAAATAAATAAACAAAATCTTAAAAAAAAAAAAACTTCATGTTGTAAATTTTATGATACTTATTTTTACATCTCCAAAATTTACCCTAAGGTTCTTATTCTTGGAGGAAAACAAACCTGAAGGCAAAGACAATAACCTTTTCTAAGCAAAGTACAGTAAAATATCATCCTCTGAGCTATTAAAACAGCACTTAAATAGCTAGACAATTCCTGGTCTTTGAAGACAGTTCACAGTAAAGATATTAAATTGCTGCGAAGGGTTTAGACATTTAACTTTCAAGAAGTTAGATTGATGATGATGATTATTTTCAATACTGTTGTGAATTTACCCAGCAGATTTCCCCCAAAGAGCCGAAGGGCTTAACAGAAACCTGAAAGCCCAGGTGCTGCAGGCCGGAGGCCTTGAACTAGCTCGATGCTTGCCTGCCATTGGAGTTAACAGGAACCCCAGCGGGGAAGAGGCAAGGAGCCGCCTCCACCTGGTGTGTGCTCTGTGCAAGCGTCCCCAGCTCCGAAGCAACAGGAAAAGAACTTGGAAACTGCACTTCAAGCCTTTGCTGCAGAGCCCAGCCCAGCTGAGGCCTGTCAATCCCCTCAGCTCAAGTACAATCTGTCCAAGCCCCAGAAGCAAAGGGCACTGCTTCTCCAGCATTTGTTGGCTTCCTCCTCATAAGAGGGCTGGGGAGCACAGCCTGGACTGCAGTCCACACCCAGAGATGCCAAGGGCCTTACTCATGCTGGGGAAATAGGATGGGAGCCTGGCATTGAGCTAACGTCTGTTCAGCTGGGAGACATGGGACAAACCAGCTAAGCCCCCGGTTCTCTCATCCGTAAATACTCAGGGCCGGGATTGATCTCCAAGGTCCCCAACAATGTAAGAGCCTATGGTTCTAAGGTGACAGCAAAACAAGATGGAAAATACATGGAAAAGAAATTTTAAAAAACTTTAATTTTATAAAAAGGACCTCATGGTTAGAAGAGTCATGAAGAGAGTGGTTCAAGCAAAGATTTCACAAGCTGAATTACAAATAAACGAAACTTCAGTCCATTAACAGTCTTCAACACTGTGTGACAGATAAAAGATGACTTACTGGTGATTCAATGTCTTCTAGGAGTAAAACAGAACAGCGTTCACATTTCAACAAAGTTTGGGCCCGATGCATTATTTTTTTGACAATTTTCTCCAGGTCAGTCTGTTCTTCAAAGAGGTCATTAACAACCTCTAGCAAAGCCTAGGAAAGATAAAATGGATGTATTTAGGTGGGTACAGGACTGAATAAAAAAAATTTTTTTTCCTCTCAAAATTCCGTTTGGTGTTTGCTGTAATAAAATATAAATATTTTTGTGTGGCTAATTTTTAAAGCATTGATGATTATTTTGACATATTCCATCATTTTGTTTTATTTATTTAAAGATTTTATTTATTTATTCATGAGAGACAGAGAGAGAGAGAGAGAGAGAGAGAAGCAGAGGGAGAAGCAGGCTCCCAAGGAGCAGGGAGCCCGATGCGGGGCTCGAGCCCAGGACCCTGGGATCATGACCTGAGCCGAAGGCAGACACTTAACCATCAGAGCCACCCAGGCGCCCTCCGTCATTTTGTTTTATAACACAGTTTTGAACTGAAAAATACAACTTGAGAGTAGTGGCAATCCATATAGTCCTATATAAATCCCACATATAGCTATAGGACTATCTCCCGAGTAGCTAATGACTACAGGATCCCGTTTAGTCTGCTATAGCTCTAGGCTTCCCTCCCTACCCCCACTTCACAGGAGTTTTTCTACAACATGACTAGGTATAAACCCAACATTTTATAAATTATGAATACTTTATTCTCTCCAAAGAACATTTATTTCAGAAAATTACAAAGCAGCTCTTCCTCACTCAGGAAGAAATAGGTTCATGGTCAGACTTGAGACTTACTTTCCCCAGTACACATCTCTCACAGAACTCTGAAAGAATTATAGGGGTGAATGCTAATTAAGCTTCAGAGCCTTCAAAAAAATATATAAAATCCCCATTAATCCCTCTACATAAGAAGTATTGCTTCATCTCACTTGTCCAGGAAAACACAGATACTAAAATATATCTCAGGAAAGAAAATACCATTAAAATTTCTGTTAAAACAACAGAATGAAAAACACACAAATTAAAGAAAGAAAACCTTAGAATTCTAACTTGAAAACCTGCATACTCACGTAAAAATCAAACAGTATAACCTCTCATTTTATCCAGCTAAGTTAGCTTGCAATTTTTGCATTGAAATAATATTTATTTGGAATTTTTAATAACATGGCTCTTTCCAGAGATTTCAGAATAGTGGGCTATGTACAGGTAGTAGGTATTATGCTTCTACCAGAGAGCAATCAGAAAATTAACACAGCCAGTGAACTGGCCAGAAGGTGTTTTGTTCAACAGAACTTAATAAGATGTACACTTTCAGGTCTGACCTCTCACAAAAGGATTTTGTGGGTTTTCAAATTCACCTCTATTCAGGTAGATGGTGTTGATGATCATCCCAGGGATATGACCAATTTTCAACTTTAGTAATGAATTTGATTTGTCCCGAAACCATTGGAAACATGTGAAAATTTCTTCTCTGAGTCTATTCAGGTAGAAAAGCATTTGAATGAGTTAAGGGATCCACGAAATGAGTCTAGTTCACTGAGCATCTAAAAGAGGATCAAATATCCTTGGTGGCATTTTCTTTAAAGAGAGCCTGTGAGTATGGCTAAGGGCCTGGGTGGCTCTATGATCCTGAAGAGGAGAAACACCAGGAGGTGAAAAAAGTTTTGAGTGTATCCTGACTGTTTGGCATTTGGGCAGCAAATTGCTGTAAGAAGTCAACGTGCAATAATTTCATATTTGAATATAACATTAAAAATGAGGCAATTGTCTGAATAATTACCAAAACCATTCCCTGTTATTAAGGGGGAAAACATTATTTCCTTAATCATCCAGACTATTTCTTCAGATGGATCATATTAACTGAACAATTATTTAACTTTTCAATTTGTTGTGACTGTGTGGATAGGGCTCCTGGGACCCATATACAAGAACATTTATCTCAGAGGAAAAACTAATTGTGCCTTGAGTCTTGCATTGACAAATCACATCATAGTAATTTTACTGTTTCTAATTAAAAATTGCTGCTTTACTAACAAGTGATAAAAGTTTCACAAATAATACAGACTAGCTCCACAATGGGAGAAAAAGAGAAGAAAATCTTGGATGATGGGTAATTCAACAGACATTGGAGGCTCCTCACACAGCTGAACATTCCCTGTTTCTTGACTTCCCTTGTATTGGCCCCCTCCTTCGTCTAGTGCCTTCTTTTGCTTCTGGGCTCATCCTTGGACCTTTCCCTTTCTCCTATCTACAGATTCTCCTCCAGATTGACCCACTCGGTACCCTACTTTTAAGTATCATCTATATACTGATCATTTCCCAATACGACGAGTCTCGAGTCCTGACATCTCACCAAAACTTTATACTCCTGTACCCAACTGTTTACTTGCCAGATGTACAAGCCAAAAGTCATTGTCACTCATTTCCCACATCAATAAGCTTTGGATATGTCACCGCTAATTTGGGAGGGAATCTCTCACTTCTTGCTCCTCTAGTCCCAGTCACATTGTTTCTTTTTTTCCTAGCTCTATTGAGATATAATTGACATATAACTTTGTGTAAATTTAAGGTGTAAAATATGATGATTTGATACATCACATGTTGTGAAATGATCACAAATATGCTTTTGTATCAGATCCAAAAAATCGCTGGAGACTTTGCCCTATGTTTTGTTCTAGAAGTTTTAGTTCCATGTCTTACATATGTATCTTTAATCCATTTCAAGTTAATTTTTGTGAGTGGTATAAGAGAGGGGTCTGGTATCAGTCTTTTTCATGTGAATATCCAGTTTTCCCAACATCATTTGTGAAAAAACGATCTTTTCTCCATTAAGTATTCTTGGCTCCCTTGTCAAATATATGTTGACTGTGTATGCATGGGTTTATTTCTGGGCTCTCAATTCTATTCCATTGGTCTACATGTCTGTGTTTAGTGCCAGTACCATACTGTTTTGATTATAAGAGCTTTGTATTATAGTTTGAAATCAGGAAGTGTGATACCTCCAGCTTTGTCCTTCTTTCTCAGTACTGCTTTGGCTATTTGAGTTCTTCCTCTCTGCTCCCTAGATGCACGGACCAAGCTTTTGCCTGTTTAGTGCCTCTCAACTTGACTTTTCCACTATCTGGAATGCTCTTCCCTGATCTTTGTGTAGTTTTGCTCCTTCATTTCATTCAGGTCTCAGTTCAAATAACATCTTATAGACAACTTCTTGATCATGCTCTGAAATAAACATCCTCTCAAACTATCCTTCAGTGATCAATCTCTATCTCTTCATCTCATTCCATTTTTAGAGCACTTATCATTACCTAATACTATATTATTTTTTATTGGTTTGCTTGACTATTATCTACTGTACCTACCTATACCTACCTGTATCTATTGTATTATGAGCCTAATATAATTTAATATCTATTTGATAGTTTAGCATTTTTTTGAGTCTTCCCTCCTCCCTCCCTCTCCTTCCCTTTCTTTCTTTCTCTTCCTTCCTTCCTTCCTTCCTTCCTTTCTTTCTTTC